GCCACCCGATAGCTACGAACCCCACGTGGACTTCAGCGTGATGATTCTCTGCTTCGACTCGACATCGCACAACGGCTTCATGCGCCGAATGCCGCATAGTTACAAAGCTTTGCAAGATATAGGAGCTACTATCATGAATGGGTATGTAAAAATGTAAATGTTACAGTGTAGTTTCACTGTCGGAAAACTTTCATATATCTCGTTTTGAAGATAACGCAAAAATGATTAAACGTTTTGATACAAAGCTACAATTACTTCAACAATGTAACACATCATTAAAAATCATTAGAAGCCAAATAATTTCACGATAATAATATTTTTATAACTAACTAACTACCATAATATAAACGCCTTTTATGGCATGTCCCTAAATGTATTGCCCTAAATGTATGTTGTATTCTAAAGTAGGAATCTTCCTTCTTCCTTATAATATTATAGATGCGTAAGTTTGGATGGATGTTTGTTAGAGTTTGTAGCCTAAAAGGCTGAACGGATCACGATAAAATTTGGCATGGATGTAGAGGATAGTCTGGAAGAATACAGGCTATTAATCGTTTTTTCAATTCCACGCGAACGGTGTCGCGGGCGTAAGCCAGTCTAATAATTTCACATGTGCCGTAATTAGAATTATATGTTCTTTTTCGCTATTCCAGTTACAACATAGTGGGGGACGGTACTCCCGCCGCCATCATTCCGCTGCTGACAGGGAAGACGGAGCTCGACTTGCCGGAGACGAGGAAACTCTTCAGCGGCAGCAAACCTATAGACCCTGACAACTTCATCTTCAAAATGCTCTCCAAACACGGGTGAGTGATGCGTATGAAGTTACTAGCTGTTGCTCGCTACTCCGTCCGCGTAGAATTAAAAAAATATAGCCTATGTTACTCACAGATTAATTAGCTTTCTAACGGTAAATGAATTTTAAAAATCAGCACAATATTTAAGTTATTTGAATACATACAAAAATACAAATCTTTCCTCTTTATAATATTAGTATAGATAGAGTAATTCTTAAGAAAACTGTTCAATTCTTCTAATGCTGAAAAATTCGCACTAGCTTTGTCCGAGACTCCGCCCGCGTGATATAAAAATAGTAAGTAGCCTATGTGTTCTGCCAAACTATCTACATCTATGCCATTTTTCATCCAAATCCGTTCAGCCGTTTAGGCTACAAACTCTAACAAACATGTAAACTTTCGCATTTATTACTAAGATTGAGAAGCTTCTAGTTTTTTTAATATTTGGTAGGAAAAGGGGGGATTTTTGTCTTTGTAAAGATGTCAATTCCATCATCATCATCCACTTGCCCTTATCCCTTATGTCAATTCCATAGTGCTACTCTTAAAAAGTTCCTTTAGTTAAAAAGTAAGCTTTTCATCAGCTACCGCACCGCATACTTCGAGGACTCTCCCTGGATCGGCACCTTCCAGTACCGATACAACGGGTTCAGCTCGCAGCCCGCGGACCACTACCTGCAGGCCTTCCTGCAAGAGGAGACCAAGTTCGGCGCCAAGTGGTGGAACGGCATCAACAAGAGGCACTGCATCGGAGACACGCCACAGTACGGATTTCTAATGAATTTGAGCAAACAGGTATTTACGTCTTGTGTAGGGTTAGTATATAAGTTTAGGACTATCTAGATTCTAGAATCTAAAAGACTGAACAGATTTTGTTATGTGATGTTTATTTCGATTCGCATTTCCCATGAGTGTTATAGATGACAGTACATTTGTTTTTTTTTTCAAATGACTTTATTCCAATTCGAAATTCGGCTCCGAACTCTTCACTGGGGATATAGAGTGATCTGATGATGATGAATTTGATATTTCTTCAGGTGACTTCATTACCACAGAAGCATTTCTGCTTCACTTTCATAGTGGACATCTCGCATGATGATTTCAACATGATCAGCAGCGCTGATGATGACCTGGTAGCCTTCCTCCATCACATGCGGGACTCGGGCAAGCTGGAGAACCACTTGTTTATTGTGATGGGTGATCATGGATCGAGGTTGGCTGATTTATTTATTTATTTTAAAATATAAACAAAACGCAAAAGTTTAGATGTTTGTAGCCTAAACTGCTGAA